TCCTCAATAAAATATTGGCAAATAGGATCCAGCAAGTCATCAAGAAGATTATACACCATGACCAAGTGGGATTCATCCCAGGAATGCAAGGATGGTTCAACATACGTAAATCAACAAATGTAATCCACCATATCAATAAAGCCAAAAATAAGAATCACATGATCATTTCTATAGATGCAGAAAAAGCCTTCGATAAGGTCCAACACATATTCATGATAAGAACTTTACAGAAAATTGGAATAGATGGCCTTTACCTCAACATAATAACGGCCATTTATGACAAACCAACAGCCAAGCATCATACTAAATGGCCAAAAATTGAAAGCCTTTACTTTAAAATCGGGCACAAGACAAGGATGTCCTTTATCACCACTCCTATTTAATATAGTACTGGAAGTACTAGCCAGAGCAATTAGGCAAGAAAGAGAAATAAAAGGGGTAAAGATAGGAAAAGAAGAAGTTAAATTATCATTGTTTGCAGATGACATGATACTCTACATAGAAGACCTCCTAAACTCCATTGAAAGACTCTTAGATACAATAAATAAATTCAGTAATGTGGCTGGATACAAAATCAATACTCAGAAATCAATAGCATTCCTATACATGAACAACAAAATCACAGAGAGGGAAATAAGAGAAAGTACACTCTTCACATTACCAAGCAAAAAATGAAATATTTAGCAATTACTCTTACGAAAGAAGTGAAAGACTTATACAGTGAAAATTATAATACACTGAAAAAGGAAATTGAAGATGATCTCAGAAAATGGAAAGACATCCCTTGCTCATGGATAGGAAGAACAAACATTGTGAAAATGGCCATTCTCCCAAAACTGTTATACAGATTCAATGCAATCCCAATAGAAATACCATCAACATACCTTATAGATCTAGAGAAATCACTCCTAAATTTCATCTGGAACCAGAAGAGACCTAGAATCGCAAAGGCAATTCTAAGCAGCAAAGGCAAAGCAGGAGGCATCACAATCCCTGACTTGAAGTTATACTACAAAGCAACAGTAGTAAAATCAACATGGTATTGGAATCAAAACAGAGCCGAAGATCAGTGGAATAGATTAGAAGATACAACCACAACTACGAACACACTCAACCACCTTATCTTTGATAAAGGAGCCAAGCAGGTTCACTGGAAGAACGACAGTCTCTTTAATAAATGGTGCTGGAAAAACTGGCTCTCCATTTGCTGAAAACTAAAGCCAAACCCATGTCTATCACCATGTACTAAATTAAAATCTAAATGGGTCAAAGATCTGAATATTAAAACAGAAACACTAAATCTATTGGAAGACAAATTAGGTAGAAACCTTGGAGACATAGGAGTAGGTAAAGAATTCATGAACAGGACTCAAACCGCACGGGAAATACTTCCCAGAATCAATAACTGGGACCACTTCTTATTAAAAAGTTTCTGCATGTCAAAAGAAATCTCCAGCATAGTGAAAAGAAAACCCACAAACTGGGAAAAGATTTTAGTGAACTCTCTCTCAGACAAGGGCCTCTTGTCTAAAACATATAAAGAATTAAAGAAACTCAGACCTCCAAAATTCAAAGATACAATCCAAAAATGGGCATCTGAGATGAATACGCAATTCTCAGATGAAGAAATGCAAATGGCAAATAAATACATGAAAAAATGCTCATCATCATTGGTCATTAGAGAAATGCAAATTAAAACCACACTGAGATACCATCTCACTCCTGAAAGAATGGCCAGGATCAAGAAAACCGACAACAAATGCTGGAGAGTCTGTGGGGAAAAAGGAACTCTCCTGCACTGCTGGTGGGAGTGTAGACTGGTACAGCCTTTGTGGAGATCTGTCTGGAGATTTCTCAAAAAGTTGGGACTGGAAATCCCATTTATTCCAGCTATTCCACTTCTAGGCATATTCCCAGAAGAACTGAAAGCATCATACCACAGTGATATATGCGCACCTATGTTTATAGCAGCACAATTTGTAATCGCCAGATCTTGGAAACAACCCAAGTGTCCATCAACTGAGGAATGGATAAAAATGTTGTGGTATTTCTATACAATGGAGTATTATTCAGCTATAAAGAAGGATCACATTGAGATATTTATCAATAAATCGGCGCAGCTTGAGACCACACTCATAAGTGAAATAAATCAATCTCGCATGTGTGAATACCGAATAGTTTCCCTAATGTAAGTAATGATTCAAATATATAAAAATATGTGGTAATCATGATTCCCCATTAGGTGGCCTTGGAGCCTTATAAAGTTTTCACTCATTAATTAGAAAGGCTTTATTCTGGGCTTCTTGATATGAAAATATTTGAAGCTAGAGTATATGAAGTTTTATCCAAATATTTCAAGGAAAAAGACACTATGGTAACTACTATTAAGTCAGGTTATATGGTGGTGAAGTACTAGGTTGTTGAAACAGTCATGCTGTGACCTCTATTGTTATATTGTTATGTCCTGTTTTATCTCAATCTCCCCCTTATTGTTTTAAAAAAATTATTTAGTCATTTCTTATGTTTGTCTTAATTAAAGAAAAAATTCAAACAATTAGGATATATAAATAGTAACTCTTTTTGATTTCCTATTAACTTGTTTTGAAGTCCTGTAGTACTCCCACGATCTTGTTTTGACTGATTAGACTCTGTTCCATTCTATATGATAGTATCAAGTTTGAAGACATAGGCAACTACTTTGAAGACAATAAGATTCACTAAGATACCCATTCTGGTTTGACTATTGTCTTCTTTGGAAGTCCTGTAATGTTTACAATGCCTAAGTTTTATTGGTCTTGTTCTCTACTGTTTTGTCCAACTTTATAATATCTAATGAGATAGCCAATTCTTTTTAAGGAAACAAGGGACAACGTTGATAACCATTGTTGTTAAACTTGTACTCTGTTCTACACCATGTGCTATGTCTATCCTTGGTATTGACCGACATCTTTGTTTTGCCATATTTGACTGTATTCTTCCCCCCCCCAAAAAAGTAATAAGCACTAAGGAGTAATAAAATCCAAAATGTGTAAATTTTGTTGTAAAAAAGAGAGGGAAAAAAAAAAGAAAAAGAGCTCTAACGGATATAACAGCAAGTGTGTTTAGGGGTGTTAAATAGCTGACTATATCAATGTTTTTGGATCATTGAACACAGCTGTTTGCAGTTTCCCTGTTTGAATGTCCACCTTGTATTCTTTGATACTGTGATTTGAGGAACTATTTTCAAGATGATAATATGTAATCTACTAACAGGTGATTTCTTACTGTTATGTTTTTTTTGTTTGTTTTGTTTTGTTTTGTTTTGTTTTTTTGTAGTTCTGTATTACGTGTACCCTTACACCGCAAAAAAAAAAAAAAAAAAAAAAAAAAAAGCTGGGATTGGAAGTCCCATTTATTCCAGCTATTCCACTTCTAGGCATATTCCCAGAAGAACTGAAAGCATCATACCACAGTGATATATGTGCACCTATGTTTATAGCAGCACAATTTGTAATCGCCAGTTCTTTGAAACAACCCAAGTGTCCATCAACTGAGGAATGGATAAAAAAGTTGTGGTATTTCTATACAATGGAGTATTATTCAGCTATAAAGAAGGATCACATTAAGATATTTATCAATAAATGGATGCAGCTTGAGACCATACTCATAAGTGAAATAAATCAATCTCGCATGTATGAATACCAAATAGTTTCCCTAATGTAAGTAATGATTCAAATATATAAAAATATGTGGTAATTATGATTCCCCATTATGTGGCCTTGAAGCCTCATAAAGTTTTCACTTATTAATTGTAAAGGCTTTATTCTGGGCTTCTTGATATGGAAATACTTGAAGCTATAGTATATGAAGTTTTATTCAAATATTTCAAGGAAAAAGACAGACACTATGGTAACTACTATTAAGTCGGGTTATTTGGTGGTGAACCACTAGGTTGCTGAAACAGTCATGCTTTGACCTATATTATTATATTGTTATGTCCTGTTTTATCTCAATCCCTGCCTTATTCATTAAAAAATTATTTAGTCATTTTTTATGTTTGTCTTAATTAAGGGAAAAAATTTTAAAAATTAGCAGGGTATATAATAGTAACTTTTTTGATTTTCTATTAACTTGTTTTGAAGTCCTGTAATACTCCCACTACCTTGTTTTGACTGATTAGACTCTGTTCCATTCTGTATGATAGTATCAAGTTTGAGGGTATAGGCAACTACTTTGCAGGCAATAAGATTCACTAAGATGCCCATTCTGGTTTGACTATTGTCTCCTTTGGAAGTCCTATAATGTTTACAATGCTTAAGTTTTATTGGTCTTGTTCTCTACTGTTTTGTTCAACTTTATAATACCTAATGAGATAGACAATTTTTTTAAGGAAACAAGAGACATTGTTAATAACCATTGTTGATAACCTTGTACTTGTTGTACATCATGTGCTATGTCTATCCTTGGTTTGACTGACAGCTTTGTTTTGCCATATTTGACTTTATTCTCTCCCCCCACCAAAAAAAAGTAATAAGAAATAAGGAGTAATAAAACCCAACATGTGTAAATTTTGTTGTAAAAAAGAGAGGGCAAAATAAAAGAGTTCTAAATGATACAACTGCAAGTGTGTTTAGGGGTGTTAAATAGCTGACCATATTAATATTTTTGGTTGGATCATTGAACACAACTGTTTGCAGTCTCACTGTTTGAGTGTCCACTTTGTATGCTTTGATACTGTGATTTGAGCAACTATCTCTAAGATGATAATATGTAATCTATTAACCGGTGATTTCTTACTGTTTTTTTTTTTTTTTGTAGTTCTATATTACTTGTACCCTTACACTGCTTTGTTTTGTTTTGTTTTTTCTCTTTTTCCTTTTAAAGAAAATTTAAAAAAAAGAAAGAAGAGAAAAGCAAAGAAAAAGGAAGAGAAACTCTTAAGACTTTATAACGGAGATGTTGGTCCAGATCTCTGATAACTTCCAGCCTAGAGCCCCAGGTCTCAGCTAGGGGTGACTTACACTCCTGGTTTGTCTGGAAACACTATGGAGGCCCAAAAGTCGGTCAGAGAGTAATTCTCCAACTTCGCTGCCGATGACTTTCTTTAGGCTGTGAATCAAGTCCCACTCCTTCTGGTCAAATCGATGCTTCAGCTCAGCCTCTATAGCATCTGTGTCCCCATCCTTGGTGTAGAAGGAAGACAGTGCCCTGTGGGCAGAGAAATGGGAATGGGTGGATGGTTGGAAATGTACACAGGGAAGGCTGGAGGGTGGGGAACGGGCCATTCCCTCTAAGAATAGGTGACAAATAGGAGAAAATGGATAATCAATTTATTTAATGCAAACAAGACTACAAATGATAAAACTCCACGGAGGCATCCAACATCCTCTGGAGTAATTCTTCCATTTTACAGGTAGGAAATGAGAATGAAATAGAAGAAATGACTTCAGAAAGCCAAATAATATTTTTCCAGACTAAAATGTATGGAGGGTTCACGTGGGATTGCTACAAAGAGTTGTCTACAGTTTTTAATGTTATCAACATACATCATCTTTGTAACCAACCAAAACAGGAATAATAAGATTATTCTCAATTTATAGAGGGAGCCATTGAGGCCCAGAGAGGATAAGTAACTTTCCCAATACCACACAAGGAATACAAAAATGAACTGAATTTGTTTCTAGACAATCTGCCATCTTCACACTTTATTTACTGAACACTGCCTTGGAGCAAAAATCTGACAAGTCTTGGTAGAGAAGATGTTTCAGACAGGAACACCTTGCCTGTGCTAGCTCCTACTGCAGAGATTTGATATCCATTTGTTCACTTAATAAATATTTGAACTCAAATTTAAACATTGATATTCCATTTTGTTACTGGGAAATTTTTCAGTGCATTTGGAACAAGTTGAGCTGAAACCTTTTCCCCTTGGTACTGTGGATTGAACCAAGGTCCTTTACATTAATCTATATCCCCAAATCTTTTAATTTTGTATTGTGAGATATGGTCTCCCTAAGTGGCCCTGATTGGGCTCAAACTTGTGATCCTCCTTCCTCAGTGTCCCAGAAAGCTAGAATTAGCGGCCTATACTACCACACCCAATGAAAAACTCAGAAAGTACTGAGAATGTACAGTTTGACAACAGGAATGTCAAATAGCTCACTAATAATTTCTTCATTACTTTTAGGCCAAATATTAAAGTTTCAGATATAATGAATTAAAAAGAAAATATACCATGATGGTTAATGTCAGTTTCTTTTTACTTTTTCATGGAGGTTACTAGAAAAGTCAAATCAACAGATGTAACTTGTGTTACATTTCTCTTGGATAACTGTGATCTGGAAGCTTCACATGTGTTGTGTTTTTAGTACAGCAGCCCTGTGAGGTCAGTACTGTTATCTCTTTGACAATTAAGGAGACTGGAGGTCTAGGATTGGAACCAAGCTGTTGGAATGCAGACCCTCCTTCTTATCCACAGGCTGCAGCACGATGGACCTCCAAGAAGCAACAAGGAAAAAAGTCCTGTGCTTCAGAGCTTAACAGCACCCTTTAATTTGGAAACAGGGCAGGCCTGCTGACCCTCAAACTCCATCACTTATCATGTTAATCTCTGGAGGGACACAGGACTCCTAGGTGTGACCCGTAGGACCTGCCTCACCCCCTAGCTCTGAGGCTCTGTTGTTTATGCCTTTCTCCCCACTAACCTCATTCTCCATACACAGCTCAAAACCCAGTGCAGACTTAGCTCTTGCACTGAAAACGTGCCAAGATTTACTAGGAGTGTGCACCCTGCTTTGGAAGCAGATGTCCAGGCACCAGTTCTTCCTACCTGTCCTGTGTGGCCTGGAGCAGGAGAAAGTCCTGCACAGCACTTTGCAATTCTCTGTATCTAGTCTGCAAAGTCATAGGAAGTCACAGTCTAGGAGTCTGGGCTACAGTCTATGCACCTAAAGTGTAAACAGTGTACCTGAACATGTAAAGGTCCTTGAATGTCAGCAAATAATTATTATATTTGTTCCAGAACTTTTGGGGGCTAAGAGAGACATTTGGTGTTTGTCCTGAGTTCTCAGCACGGAACTCCTAAAACCTTAGAGTTCTTGAGGATAAGGGTGGTAGCTGAGATGGCTCTTGGGGACAGAGGGCCTTGAAATGCTTTGGGATGGGTACTGATCACCAGAAAGGCCAAACCATGACGAGAAGCTTAAAACTTTCAGCTCCTGCAACTTCTGGGGGAAGAGGAATGGAGAGGAGCTGGTGGTTGGGCTCAATCCCCAGTGGCCAATGATTTAGCCAAACACACATATGTAATGAGGCCTGCAGAGAAATCCCTAAACAACAGGTTCAGAAAGTGCTTGTGAAGCCGGGCGTGGTGGCTCACACCTGTAATCCCAGCACTCGAGAGGCTAAGGCAAGAGGATCAGCCTGGGCTACAAAGTGAGCTCAAGGCCAGCCCAAACTGCATAGCGAGACCCTATCTCAAAAAAGACCAAAAAAAAAAGTCTGCAGAAAGTGCTTATGCTTGTGCCAGGAGCCCCTGGGAGCAGGGAGGGTTGTGTGTCAGGAGAAGCGATGGGAGGGTTGTGTGCCTGTCCTTTGCTCAGCCACCATTTGTGCCTGAACTGCCTCCTTTAATAAACCATAAAACATAATAAAAGTGTACCGCTAACTTTCATAAGCTATTCCAGGAAATTATCAAACCTAGGAAAAAGTCTTGGGAGTCCCCAATTTATGTTCAGTCTCTCAGAAGTGCTAGTGGCCAGGAGCTTGCCTCTGGTGTCTGGGTAGAGGAGGGGTTGTGGGCTGGATGCTCACTCCAGGTGGACAAGGTCAGGATAAAATTAAATTGCAGGACACCCTGTGGTGTTAGAGAGTTGAATTAGTAGTGTCAGAAAGGACAGCGGATCCAGACACAATGGCCGCAAATGTCATCCCAGCATTCCGGGAGGCTGACACAGAAGAATCACAAGTTCAAGTCCTATGTGAGCAACTTGGCAAGAACTTGCCTCAAAATAAAACAATTAAAAAGTAAAAGAAGGACTGGGGAATATAACTAACTTTAACTGGGGAATATAACTAACTCAGTGTGAGTTCAATCTCCAGTACTGGCAGGCAAAAAAGAAAAAGGTTCAATTCAAAAGAGAGAGAGAGAGAGAGACAGCGAAAGAGACAGAGACAGAGACAGAGACAGAGACAGAGACAGAGACAGACACAGAGAGAGGCAGTAGGATACTGGTAACCAGAATGCAGAGAGATTGAAGGGTGAGAAGACAGAGTTGGGGAAGAAGGTCATTAACAAAGAAGTTCATCTTCAAAGGCACAGCCAGATTGAAGGAATAATTTCTGACATTCTATCACTCAGACAATGAATATAGTTTACAGTATTGGGCCATACAATTCAAAATATGTACGAGAGAGGATTTTGAATGTTTATATCACAAAGAAATAATAAAGGTCTGAGATGCTGGAAAATATAAATATGTGGAGTGGTCCATATGCAATATATATGTGTGATGAAACATCACACTGATGTACAGTTATCTTTTAATTGAAAAAGAAAAGAAACCATGCATGAGGGTACACACGTCACCCCAGTATTCTGGAAGACTGAGGAAGGATCTAAAGTTTGAGTTCATTCTGGACAACTTAATGATTTAGCAAGATTCTCTCTCAAAATAAAAAAAAAATTGAAAAGGGCTGGGGATATAGCTCAGTTCAAAAGATTAATCCTCAGGAAAGGAACGAAGGAAGAAATGAAGCAATGAATAAAGGAAGAAAGGGAGGGAGGAAAGGAAGGGAGAAAAAGAAAAGAGCCTGAACTTGGTATCAGGAGGAAAAATCTCTCATTTGGACGTCAGGCACTACCTCCTATCCTGAAATGTACACTTACCAAGTGGACCTCGAGACTCTCGAGAGGTAAGTGACAGCATCCAGCAGGCCAAGACTTTTCAGCTCACTCAGGACCCCGATGCAGGCGATGTGGGCCCACAGCCGCCCACCAGAGCCCAGCACAGCAATCACGAGTGCCTGGGGACAGGGTTGAGAACAAGACAGGGATCTAAGACTCTCTTGAGTCAGGTGCTGCCTGTCACACATCACTTCTCTGGCCATGTAAGTCTGTACTCTCTACCTCCTCCCCTTCTGCTAATCCTAACTGAGCTGGGCCCCAACCCAGGTGCAAAAGGTGCAATCCTGGGGCCCCCAAGCTCCCCATTACTCATCTCATTGGCTTTGGTGCTCAGTTTTTCCAGACCCTTCAACACCTGGCTCCTGCGTTTCTCCACAACCTCCTGCTCTTCTTTTTGCAGCCCAGGGAGGATGGAAACCATAACACTTCCCAGAACAAAATGAAAATAATAAACTCCAGAAAAATTGCCATGAGAAAGAAACAGTTTATCTGGAGTGGTGCAGCCCAAAAAGGTAGGCAGCAGCCCTACAGTGATGAAATGCAAAAGTGCCTGGATATGCAGGTAGAATTGAAAAGGTAAATAAAGAATATAGCATATCTGATAGTGAGGATTTGCAGAAATTATCACATTTTTATGTCCAGTGAGTACAAATACAGTTGCCCTCCATATCTGTAGGTTTTGCATTTGTGAATATAGCTAATAGGTCAGAAATGAGAAGGAAAACAGTCTGGACTGACCATGTACTGACCTTTTCTCGATCATTATTCCCAAAACAATATAGAATAACAACTATTTGCATAGTATTAATGTTGCACAAGGTATTATAAGTAACCTAGAGATGATTTAAAGTACACAGGAGGATGCGGGCGTATTATATATTATATTATTACATTTTACCTAGGGGATTGGAACAGCTGAGGACTTTGGTAATCCACAGGGGGACTGGAACATCAGGCAGTCCTGGAACCAACCCTCCTTGGGTATTAAGTGGAGGCTTATACTATTAACGACATGGTACAGCCATTTAGCAATTCCCCAAAATATTAAACAAAATTACAATATGACCCAGTAATTTCATTCCTAGGAATAGAGTCAAAAGAATTGAATGCTCACAGACTTATACAGTGACATTCAAACAGTGCCATCCATTCAGCTAAAAGGGAGAAACAAACCAGCATATAGCACCTGCTGGCAGTTTCAGCACTTTCAGAGACTGAGGCAAGAGTATCACAAGTTTATAAGACCAAGTCTTAAAAAAAAAAGAGCTGGAGATGTAGCTCAGTGTAAAAGTTGAATTCCTAGTACTGAGGAGTGGAGGGAGACAACCCTAATGTCTATCAAGTGATGAGCAGATAAAATATAGTCTATCTATACAATGCAATGTCAGCCATACAAAGGATGCATACATACTACAGCATGGGTGAACCTTGAAATCATGGTAGTAAAAGAGCCAGACACAAAAGCTGTATCTTGTATTATTTCTCTTATCCAGAACATCCAAAACAGGCAAATCATGGAAAAGAGAGGCAAGTCAGTAGTTGCCAGAGTCTGGGAAGAGGGAGAGATGAGAACAGAGTTTCCTTTTGGGTTGATGAAATATTCTGGGGCCAGATAGAGATGGTGGTTGGAATGCCTCTTGCATGTACTAACCATCACTAAATTATTTACTTTAAAATAGTTGCAAGAGCTGGACATGGTGGTATATGCATATAGCTGCAGCACTTGGGAGACAGAGGCAGGAGGATTGCTGTGAGTTCAAGGCCAGCCTGAGCTAAGCATGCATTCAAATCCTGTCTGAATTACAGAGAGAGACCCTGTCTCAAAAAAAAAAAAAAAAAGCAAAAATAACTCAAAGCCACAAGAGCAAATATACTATGTATTTTTTACCACAATAAAAATTATCTACACTTGTTTCTTTCTACTTCATAAAATATGACTAGAAAACTTAAAATTACATTTGTGGCTCACCTATTTTCACACGAAAATGGTAATTTGAAGAGCTCCTCAGGGTTCGTCTTGCCTAACCTCCTCAATTAATTTTCTTTTAAATGTTTTCCTTCCTTATTGCACACCCACTTCCTGTTTTGTGGATGACTGAATGGATCTTTAAGAGACTCTGGGTTTTGATTCTGACTTCGCACAATGAGAATGATCATAGATGAAAAAAGATTAGTTCATCAATTCATCTGTCCCATGTAATTGGTTACCTAATAAACATCATAGTTCACATTCAAATAGCCAGAAAAAAATATTAAGTTGGGTGCAAATAGAATCCAGGGAGAAGACACCCGTGTACCCCATATCTGCCCTCCACCTGCCTGAAGGCCCAGGAGACCTCTGGCCTCCTTGTGGGTACTGGGCAGGGGCCTTTACAGAGGCAGCAGCTTCTGGGTCTTGCTGAGGCCCTGACCAGTCCTTGCCCTATCCTAATCCTGACTTCCTCTCCAGAGAAAGGCCTTGTCCATCAAAATTAACTCTGGTGAAAGAATCACTAGCTGAAATTGCTGGTGTCCAAGATCAGCAGAGCTGAAGTGACTCACACATATCCAACGAAGTATTTTTAAAATCCTATACCAGGAATGGTGGCACACACACCTGTAATCCCAGCTCTCTGGGAACCTGGGGCCGACCTTTAAGCCCGGACTAGTATGAGACTTTGTAAGTCTCTGTCTCAAAATAAAAATACAAGAGGTCATAAAAGGCTGGAGATGTATCTCAGGGAGAAGATCCCAGATTCAGTGCCCAATACCATGAAGACAAAGAAAAAAGTTAATCCTGAGATCGTTTTTATTCCATTTATCACTTGACACATTCCTGTAGTGGTACCTGAAAAACTGAGTTTTTGTGCCAGCTTAGCTTGTAGCTACTATCCTAGGAAGCCAACAGCTTCTAGAGCCTCTAACAAAGGACCCATCGGCATGACACTTCTAGGGGTGGGGGAGGCCTCACGATCAGCAATTAGACTGCAGGCTGAGCCTCAGTAACACAAGCACAAGGAGAAAATTTTGCAGTTTTTGGTACTTACAGACCGTGGGGTGCTCAGCCAACCTTGAGTGAAGCAGTGAAAGCAGAAGGCGGCAAGCTATAATATATACGGGAGCTAGGGTGTGAGTCTCTTCAAATTGGTGGGCTAATGCTTGAATGATCCATGTAAAGGAAGGTGCAGGAAAGCCTAGAGTCCAGTCTGTCACGTTTTGATCTCTGGCCACCTGCCTGGGCTGCTAGATGTGGTGTAGAATTGGAAATTGCGTAAGAGATTCTGAACCCAGCTCTTGGGAGGAGAATCCAAATTATGTTAAAATAGATGCTGAGACTGCATCAAACTACAACAGTACTACATTTTTAAAGTGGATTTTTATCTATCGCACAAGGCAAACTCCTTATTCTTACGCTCACTTCCAATTTCTCTTATTTTTCAGGATTTTCTTGGATATTTGTTCATGTCTTGATGCCAACAGTCTTTTTTTCACCAATTTTTTGAGATATCTCAGACAGAAAAATTATGTCTAATTGAGATGGAAACATGATTTTATTTAATTTTATTTTTAATTTTTTGGAATTGAACTTAGGACATCATCCTTGCCAGGCACGTGCTGTACCACTAAACTAAATCTCCAGCACCTGGAAATGTGATGCTTTAGTATACACAGAAGCAAATAATTAAGCTTACCTTTGAACTCTGCCCTTTTTTTCCTCTTGCCCCTCAGCTAATGAGGTAACAAACAGTACCAGGACAAGACTATGTCAAAGTGTCAGAAAACCAATAAATAAAGATCACCCTAATGCCTTCCCCAACCACAGGCATACTTAAAACCCAAAGTACATGACCCAGGCCTTCCTCTAACATCACTGCATTGTAGTTTTGACCTCCCACCCAGTGGGCTTTGGGTGTGATGGCACTTCCTCTAAAAAATCCCATAAGATCAAAATCTCTGTCTCTCAATGGTGGGCTGAATTCTCTCTGGCCATGATTCTTGGCAATACCCAGATACAGACACTCCCACAGCACCTGCCTATATGGGGTAGTGAGCTCTTCTCACTGCCTGTATGTCCTTTTGTGCAGTTGTATACATTTGTTTTGTTGATTTCTTGCACTTACACTTGTTAGTCCATGTTACGATTGATACATTGTGTCAACTAGAGAAGTTTAGAAATTTAACTAAGAGAATCAGCAAAGATCCAAGAGCCTCACTTTGTAAATAACCTCAGCCTGTGCAAAGGAGGAAATAAAAAATAATTAAGAGAGAAAAAGAGGCTTGTTCTTCTTTTTGCTCTGGCTGCTTTTGCTGGCTGCTGCCTTCAAGTATTGCCTTGGTGCCATTGCCAACTAGTCTTGGAGCCAGCTGATTACGGTCTGAAATCTCCACAAACTGTGAGCTAAATAAACTTTTCCTTTCTTCATTTTGAGTGTTGGCTATTTTGTTTCAGCGAGGAGCGAAAAGTAACCAAGACAGAATTTGGTACCAGAGAAATGGGGTTGTTGCTGTGACTGTGCCTAACCATGTGGTTGGATCTTCTGTGAATGATTCGTGGGAAGAGTTTAGAAAAGTTCAGAGATGTCACTAAAAGAGTAGCCCTAAGCTGCTCTGTATGGCAGATTTTGGTCAGGGCTCAGAAGACCAGAAAACCACTGAAGACCAGGCTTGGAAGATTTCTGCTAGGAAGGACTGGGTGCTGTACTTCAGATGATGTATATCATGGCTTGGTAGAAAGTTTGTCAGCATTTTGCTTGGGTACAGAGACTCTGCCTAAAACTAAGGGTGATGAACTAATTAATCTGACAAAAGAAATTTCAAGGCAGTCAAATGTTGAGGCTGTGGCATGGCTATTGTTGTGGGCTTCTAGCCACATTTATGTCCCAAATCACGAGCAAAGAGCCTAGCAGGATGATTTAAATCATTGTGAGCTTGGCCAGAAAGGAAGCTCCAATAAGCTGTGGACTGGGAAGATATAGCTGAAGAAATCTCGATAGTTGAAGAGGAACAGGACAATAGAAAAGATAGCCTGAAGTTATCACATAAAGCAGCAAGTTTCAAAGCTTTGCAGCCTCAAAACTGAAAAAGTGAAAGACTTTGGTTTGAAGCTGCAGAGTACTGTGTTCCAAAACGGTGGCATAAGAAATTTGTTTCTCAGAATTGGATTCGGAGTGCCCAGTGATCCAGGCACTTGACTCATACCAGCAACAGAGAGGAAAGTCTGGCTATTGCTCCAGCTGGCAGCAGACCTCAGCACCATTAATGTTGCACTGGTTTTAGGTGCACACAGAATGCACCAGTTCTGAGGTTTAAAAGTCTTCTATTTGGATTTCAGAAGGCCTGGAAGGCCAGGCAGTGTGCCCTTGAGAGGAGAGTATGTGAAGCTGAAAATGTGAAGCCAAAGGTGCCGTGATGACCACAGACTTTTGGAAAAGCTAGGAATGTTGATCATCTAAGGAAAGCTGCAAGGAGAGAGCAAAGCCTAAGACAAGCTGTGGGAGCTACAACCACCAGAAGTTCCATGGCGTTGGAGTCACACAAGCCTTTTGGAGATCACAATTTGCCATAGATTGCTTCAGATGTTGAACATGTAACTCCAGGACTTAACATTTGCCCTGCTGGATTTTGGACTTGCTTTGGTCCCAGTGCTTTGTATTCCCATTTGTACCTTTTGGATTAGGAATGTTGATTCTGTGCCATTGCATGTTGGAAGTGTTTAATTTTGTTTTAGTTTGTTACAGGGACTTGCAGCTAGAG